CTTCTTGAATAGGATACCACCCGGAACCTACTCAAGAATTGGGGACCAGGCCGAATTTGGTCTAAATCTCCAACCCCAAAAAGGTCTAAATCTCCAATCCCATCATTAGTATATTCTCTGACAATGTAATACTAAACTATTTTCTTGCTTACAACAAAGGAAATTAGTCCAGATGTGGTTTCTTGGTGTAGTTGGTTATCACGTAAGCTTCACAGTGAAACTTCGGTTTCAGGATACGCTTAAGGTCGCCGGTTCGAGCCCGGCAGAAATCACTCTTTTTGTATTTTTCACAATACAAGACCACGGCTTGTATTTTTGCTAGAACCGCGTGGTAATCGTTCAAACTGCCATTTCCAGCCTGCATGGATCGGTAGTACAAGTTCAGCCCCTGTCTGACCGACAATTACATTAACTTTTACACATAGTTATTCTTCAGTGCATATTCGAAAGAGATCTTTTTCATTTGTTATTTTTTGGACCGGACCGCGATACAATTTATTATCTTTAATGTGCGTGCTCTTTATTGTAGCACAGTGGTTCCTGTAAGCGGACTTGTTGCAATCAGTTCATGAGTTTTTGGGGAGTTTGCTTTCCTGCAACTTGCTGCTTCCCAATGCGGAAAGAATAGCGCAACAGATTTTTCTTTCCCTGAAAGTATGTACCCCACCACTCCTTCGCCAATCAATCGCACATTTTCTATAATTATTCTGGGAGTTGTCTTTGTAAGTTTGATTTACAATGCGTTTCCATTTGCGCTTCAAAAATAAACACAGCTTTTGCTTCATGTTAACGTATTAAGTATATCTGCTCACGTTTAGACACAATTCCTTTTTCCTCTTCACAATCTATTTTAATGCTCTTTACTTAATATTCTAATAATGTTTGCTTTCTTGCGAAACAAAATAGTCGTTATCCCGATTACGGCGCTGTTGCTTATGTCCACAGTTGGCGTTGTCTACTACATATTGGACATGGACACCGTTGAGTCGCCCACATGGCTACCGGATCCACAGCCGCTGACTGAGCAGCAGAAGCAATTCATGCAAGAACAGAAAAAAAAGCCGCTTTTGTCAAAGGTAGAAGAGATGTTTTCAATGACACCGGTTCGGAAAGTTCCCAGTTCCGTCACATCGACTTTGTTTATGTTCCGCGGCGATTTTGGCAGCGACCTTTATGACCTGTTTTCTCTTCATAAGCGGGCAGTCCAGTACTGCGACCGAGACACAGCTATAGCTGGATGCGACGTCAAACTTCCAAGGAATTACAAGTGGGGAACCTTGTCGTACAAGCTTTTAGACTCGCTGGAGCTCATGTGCAAGGCACCTAGGAAAACCGATTTTTATGCAAAAATTGACGACGACTTGATCATGTCTGAGTCAAAGTTTGACGAAATTTTGAAGGCAATGGCTGCGACAGATTGCCAGATAGGTGGCGGTATTGCGCGCGATTATGGATTCTACTGGCCTGTTGGACAGCTGTATATCTTCAAGAGAAATATCCTGGAGCAAATATGTTCGAAGCTTCCAATTGCAAACGCGTTTCATAGCAGTGAAGATATTACTTTCGGAAGCCTTCTAAATTCGACTGACAGGAGCATGTTTTGCAGCCTGGATACTCCAACTAATCACTGGCACAAGGAATATACAGACAAGCGGGTTAAGATAAACTATTTACAGCAGCACAATGACTAAACGCGAATGTGAATGTCACAGGCTTATCTGTATCCGACTTGTTCGTTTTACCTATCTATCATTATATTTTCGGCATCAGATTCCTTTTTGATATTGAGCGTATCATCAGTTTATATATTGAACGTCTTTCGCCTAAAGGGTTCGTTATTGTGAGCAGCTTACAAGAGATTTTTATCTCTACGATTGTAAACTTTTTCTCGTATTCTTTTTTCTTCCAGTTTTCATCGTTCATTATAGCTTATCCACACTAGTCTCAAATAAACATATCGATATAGGCAGTCTCACCAAGCAAACACGCGACAATTCATAGAAATGCTTTCTGGGGTACGTTACAAAGTAGCGATTTTCGTAGTGTTGGCACTTGTGGCGCTCTTGACGCTTGGCCTAAACTACCATCTGTCGAGAGTATCTACAGAGGATCCAGATGAGCAGCCGCTACTACAACAGCATCCTCCACCAACCAAAGTGACTGAACTGTACTCATTATATCCCGTCCGCAAGGCTCCTAAAAAGATAACGACAACGGTCTTTATGTTCCGTGGAGATTTCAGCAGTCCCTACTACGACATTTTTGCTCTTCACAAGCGCGCTGTAAGGTACTGCGACAAAGACACTACTATAGGTGGCTGTGATGTCAAACTGCCCGGAAACTACAAATGGGGAACCTTGTCTTCCAAGCTTGTCGATGCGCTAGAGCATATGTGCAAGGCACCAAAGAAAACAGACTTTTACGTCAAGGCAGATGACGACTTGATCATGTCCGACTCAAAACTTGACGAAGTTATTAGGGTCATGGCTGCGACAAACTGTGAGGTGGCTGGTGGCATTATAACAGGTGGAGGCTTCTATTGGCCGCTTGGTCAGGTTTACATCTTCAAACGTTCTGTCCTTGAGGAGTTTTGCCAAAAGTTCCCAATTACAATGCATTTGCATTCCAGCGAAGACATTTCATTTGGCTTGATACTGAACTCCACAGACCCTGTTAAATTCTGTCATCTGAATACTCCTACGAATCACTGGCACATCAATTACAAGGACCAGAGGGTGCAAATCAAGTATTTTACGCAGCACAACGAGTAAAAGTAGTTGGTTTTTTCATTTCGTTTTCGTTTATGAAACATTATCCATAGTAAAAATGCAATAAATGTCAAAGTGAAAATCGTTACAGCATAAGCAAGCCAAGAGAGATCTGGCTCCACGTCATTTTAGGAATAAAATTGAAAAGCGGGAGGCAAAAGGCGTCTACAAAATGTATCATCTTTCCATAAAGTGAAGAGTTGCAACCTTCTCAGAAAGAATTCATTGGAATTTCTTTATATTTACCACCAATTCTTTTGTAAAAAATGTGTTTGCGAATATCTTAACTCTCTGTGCTTGCAGACAAATACAATTTTATCGAATATTCGTAATGCTTTCGGGTTTTCTCCTACTTTCTGTTTCCTAGCACAATTCCCCAACCTCTATGCGTTGAAATTATTACTATCATTATTATACCCATGTTCGCCTTTGCCCACTACAGAGTCATCTTTATCTCGGCTATTACGCTAGTGGCCCTGCTTACTCTTGGTTTCACTTACCATGTGTTGGATGTTTCTAGCATAAGCGAGATTGGGCGGACACAGCGAGAACAATCAACGGAGCAACCAACCGAGCAGTCGACAGAGCTGGTACAGCCGATAAACCAACAACCTGCAGAAAAGAAACCTTATATTCCACTATTGCCAAAAGTGGATGAGCTGTACTCACTGACGCCCGTTCGCCAAGCTCCAACAACAATCACATCGACGGTGTTTATGTTCCGTGGCGATTTCAGCAGTCAATTTTACGACTTGTTTGCCCTACACAAACGCGCAACGCGGTATTGCGACAACGACACTACCATCGACGGGTGCGATGTAAAACTTCCAAGGAATTACAGGTGGGGAACCTTGTCATACAAACTTTTAGATACACTGGATCTCTTGTGTAAGGAATCAAAGAAGACCGATTTCTACGTCAAGATCGATGACGATTTGATAATGCCCGAGTCAAAGCTCGATGAAGCTATACGAGTAATGGCTGCGACAGATTGCCAGGTAGCAGGTGGCATTGCGCGCGATTTTGGCTTCTATTGGCCCGTCGGACAGGTATATATATTTAAGAGAGCGATATTGGAGAGCATCTGCGCGAAATTCCCTATAACAAGAGAGCTTCATCCTAGCGAGGATATCACCTTCGGGAGTTTCATTAACTCAACCGACAAGAGCATGTTTTGTAATTTGGTAACTCCACGAACACACTGGCATCAATACTACAGGGATCAGCGTGTTTGGATCAAGTACACGCCTCAACACAATGAGTAATGGAACCAAGAACAGCCTACACACGCATCAGTTTTTGTGACAGCTCTTATCTGCATTGTGCTTCACAGTGCTCATGCCTGAGCCAATCAATCAGTCCAGCTTATCCATGTATTTATTTTTATTCCTGCAAAGAAAAGATCGGCATCCTTTCTGTAAATCACTTTCTCGCATTCTGCAATTATTCGCAAATATTTTTGCTGATTTCTTGCAACACCTTCTCAGAAACGAAAGTTGCCAGGAAAAAACACGGCGATGCAGACCTTCAGTTCTCTTTTTTCGTAGTCGTGAATAATACACTTGCACTTTATTTTCAGATACTATATTTTTACAGCTAGTTTTTTTTAGCTCTTCAACAAACAAACCCCACAAAAAGGCAGCGACAATGGCTTCATCCGTACACCGTAAGGGTATTTTTGCAACTGTGACTATATTGTTATTGGTTTTGGTCACCTTTGGCGCAAACAGCTATATGTTGAAAAAACACGTTGAACCACAAAAAGAAGAACCCACCCCCTTACTTCCCAAAGTGGACGACCTATACAAGTTAAAGCGTGTCCACGAAGCGCCCGAAAACATCACATCAACGGTCTTTATGTTCCGCGGCGATTTCAGCAGCGACCTTTATGACCTGTTTGCCCTGCACAAACGCGCAATTAGGTATTGCGATAACGACACTACGGTCGACGGGTGCGATGTAAAACTGCCGAGGAATTACAAGTGGGGAACCTTGTCATCCAAACTTTTAGACTCGCTGGAGCTCATGTGCAACGAGCCCGTCAAGACTGACTTTTACGCTAAAATCGACGACGACCTGATAATGTCTGAATCAAAGTTTGAAGAGATTCTGAGGGTGATGGCTGCAACCGACTGCCAAGTTACCGGAAGAATTGCACGCGATTTCGGCTTTTACTGGGCTGTTGGACAGATATACATCTTTAAGCGAGCGATACTTGAACAGATCTGCGCAAAATTCCCTATAACACGCGAGCTGCACGGGAGTGAAGACATTTCCTTTGGAAGTTTCATTAACTCGACCGACAAGAGCATGTTTTGCGATTTGGACCATCCAAGGAATCACTGGCACAAGGACTATAAAGACCAACGGGTTGAGATCAAGTATTATATTCAGCACAACGAGTAGCTACTAGTGTTAGCTGATATTCTAGCTTAAATTGTTTATAGAATCGGGGACCCTTCAATACCAACATCAAGCATTAGATACATAACTTAGACCCAGGC